GATTAACTATGATTAAAAGATTAACTATGGTTGATACAGTCCCAAAATATGCTATGGATGCTTTTTATTTCAAACACATTTTAGATTATACTCCCAATTATTAAAATGGTTATATATATATTAGCAGCTCTTTAGTAAACTAATGAGAGAACATTCACTTTTTAAGAAGAATAACAGAGCCTTGCAGAGGTACCATTTGCAGGACCAGGCCCAGATTTTATTTTAAAATTTTTTCCGGCCCGGGTTTTTTTTAAAAAAATTTTCAGGCCCGGCCCGGCTGGCTTAGCCCGAATTTTTTAAAATAAATTATATTTATTTTTGATATTTATAGCTAATAATGGCGATTTCAAATATTTGGTTTTAAAATATACAACTCGGCTCGGATATTTTTTCTTAAAAAATTTTCAGGCCCAGCCCGGGTGTTTTTAAAAAAAAAATTACGAGCCCGGCCCGGGTATATTTAAAAAAATTAAAATACGGTCCGGCTCAGGGGCCAGGCCTGCAAGTCTGTGAAAAACATACCTATGAAATACAACATCTGAAAGTAGATTGAATGATTTGGATCTTTTGAATATTCATAGACATTTAACGCCAAGCAAGGATTGATAATTGAAAAATTAGCTCAAAACATACAAAATACAATTATTCCTAAGAAACTTTTTGTGTATTAATTTATATTTACAACATTTAAATTTTTTTTACTTTATATATTTTAAAAGCTCAAAAAATTCAAATTTCAATTTTGGGTCATTTAGGTGATTCATATCGTGGGTTATATTCACTTTATATTTTATGATTCACATTTAAATGCCGGTTAATATATATAATTATTTTAATTCACATTAGTTTAAAATTGTGTATTAGAAAAGTTATTAATCCTAATAATTTATGCTTAGTATTTTTAATTAAAAATATTATTTCTTAAAAAAATTTATTATCCCCCCCCCCCCAGACCAAATTCCTGCGTACGCGCCTGGAAATACTCATTATAAAAATAAAATTAAACGGATGGATGTTAATATTTTCTCTAGCTTTGGTCAAAAATTAAATATTTTAATAAATAGATTGTGGATTTCGATTTAAAATTCACAGTTTATAATTTTAAAAAAATATTTGTAGTCGTCTTAAACCGTAATAAATACAAAATAATTTTTATTTTATAGTATTTGAAATATAAATAGTAAATATTTTCAAAAATATTCCAATTAAAATACAAATACAATATTTTAAATACAAGCATTCACGTTATAGTAAGTAGTTGATGTTTAGAAATAAAATGAACCCGGACTCAGACACATTATCAGAGTAAATTCTTTTAGTTGCTTTTTAATCGTAAGACCTTGTTTGCATTAAGCGCGTATTTCTCAAGCGATGCGACTGGGAAAAAATTTATAATTCATTTCCTCGCATCGCGAAGTTATTAATTTTACCTATTATTTGCTTGCTTTTGAAAAATCCCAAGTGATCCTTATCGCATCGCTTGAGCGATACGCGCTTACTATAAACAAGGTCTAAGGCTGTCCAAAATCTTGTTGCTATAATTTTTTCCTTTGTACTGGTTACTTAGTTAAAGTACTCATATGCATTAATAAAACACGAGACATTGACATAGAATTTAAAATTAGTGCCTAAAATATGATAATCAAAGATACCCACTGGGCAAATTTGGGTTTGAAGGTAAAGCCCCCCCCCCTCCCCCCATTCATTTAATAAATTCTGGCTAGGCCACTGTATTGTCAAAAAAGAAATTATTGCCATAAACTATACTATAAAAGTCTAACTAGTACATAGACCCAAAGGTTTATTTAAAAAATTATACATAAATATTAGTTTAGACTTATATTTTAATCGATTTTTAAAAAGATTTAGGTTAATATGTGTTTTTTTCATAAAAAAAATTAGCCAAAATTTATTCAGGTTTTTTTGTTGAAGATTTTTAAATTTCCGTGGTACAAGACTACTAAACCTTTCAGGATTAATAAAAAATAAATTGTTTTTAAACCATTTTTATGATATTAAAATTAAAAATATAACTGTTATATATATGTATTTTTTTATTATTTGGCAAGTCATTTTTATCAAATTTAATATTGTTATTTTGTCAAGTCTTTATTAAAATTAATATTGTTATTTTGTCAAATCATTCTATCAAATTAATATTGTTATTTTAGTGAGTCAGCATTATCGTAAAAAATATATTTTTTATTTTTGAGATTACTAACAAATTTATATTAATTTAGCAAATTAAAAAGATATAAAAGCTTAGTAAAAAAGGTAAAAATGATCAATTATTTTTTTTTTCGTGGTTTATAAATCATAAAACGTTTTCGTATTTTAGTTTAATTGTGAAATTATATTTGGAAATTAATAAAACAAAGCTAAAGAGTATAAATCAAAAAAAAGTTTAAAAAATTAAAGAATAGGAAGTGTGAAAATTATAAAAGTGGTGGCCAAGGCGAAATATACGGGATAATATTTTGGAAAGCGTTGGATATAGGGAATAACGTTGAAAACTAATTAGTAGGGAAAGCGTTGGATATACGGAACGTTGAAAACTAATTAGTAGGGAAAGCATTGGATATACGGAATAATTTGTGCAACGCGTTTTTTTTAAAAAAAAGAGGAAGTACACCGAGCGATCAAATTAGGCGGAAGTGCTGCCCAAATTTTGGCATATATAAACCTGTTACACGGAATTGTCCTAAATTTTTGTCATATAGATCTGCTAAATTTTTGTTGACATTAAATTTTTAAGAAAAGATATTAACTTTTTTAATTTGTAATGTCAACAGATAAGATAATATTAATAGCTTAAATAAGCCAATGATACACATATACATCCACCACTTTACAGGTCTTTATATGACAAAAATTTGGGCAGCACTTCTGTGTAGCAGATCTATATGACATATGTGTATCATTGACTTATTTACGCTATTAATATTATCTTATCTGTTGACATTACAAATTAAAAAGTTAATATCTTTTCTTAAAAATTTAATGTCAACAAAAATTATATATATTTTTAAAAATTCTTATTTAAAAACTTCAATAAACTTTATTTAATTTAATTTAAAAGATATATATATGTTCTAAAAATTTTATCTTTGAGAAATATACCAAGTTCTTAACACTACTAAAATTATCTTAATCTTTTAAAATATAAATTTTCCAAAAGTCAAAACACAAATTTTATTATCAAATTAATCATCATAAAAAATATTTTCAAAAGTCATATTATATAAAAAAAATTCGGTAACTCACTGAATCACTGGGAATTTTTTAATATTATTTTTTTTTTAATTATTTTTTTTTTTATAAAAAAAATAAGATCGTCTGGATTTTAGTAGAAATTTTTTAATGGAAGGGGTAAATTAAATATTGATAAATCTTAAAATTAAATATTTTTCCAAGTTATAACAATCGAATTAAAATGGATATGATCATTACTCTGTCAATCATAGCAAAAACTTTATAGACCCTAATGATATATCAATCCACACTCAACGTATTGAGCGTTTATGGAGGGATCTTAAGGCAAGCATTCCCAGAAATGGAAGAAAATCTTCCTTTCATTTATATATATGTGAATATTCCTATTTTCGTAATATTAAAAATATGTCTATATAAATAAATTAAATTTTTAATGATATAAATTTATATAGAACTATTTTTGTTTTTCCTTAACAATATACATCTATATTATCATTGTATTTATATTATGTTTATTCATATAATTGATTAATTATCTTTTATTTGGGTTTAATAGTAAATTGTAAGAATTATGAGAATTTTCACAAATAAAATACTCCGTTTTTTAAGATTTTTAAATATCTCCGTTTGTTAAAAATTTTAAATATACTCCCTTTTTTATATTTTTAAATATACTCCGTTTTTATTGTAAATTACGGTATCGGTCCGATCCGTTTGTCTTTCTTTTGTCATTATACAATTTCGCTTCAATATTTCGAAAAATTTCCTAGAAAATGGTAAAATAGCAATATAATTATTTACATATATATTTTTTTAGCAATTTTTTATAGCAATATTCTCAACTTTATTAGCAAATATTTTTCTGAACCTTAAAGGCGAAGGTAATTGTTTTAATTAATATTTACATATATATTGTTTTAATTAAAATATTTTACATAATTAATATTTACATATATATGTTTTTAGCAATATTCTCAACTTAGTATAAATATTTTTCTGAACCTTAAAGGCAAAGGTAATAGTTTTTATTAAAATTTTTACATAATTAATATTTACATATATATATTTTTTTTAGCAATATTCTCAACTTAGTATTAGCAAATATTTTTCTGAACCTTAAAGGCTAAGGTAATTGTTTTAATTAAAATTTTTACATAATTAATATTTACATATATATTTTTTTAGCAATATTCTCAACTTAGTATTAGCAAATATTTTTCTGAACCTTAAAGGCTAAGGTAATTGTTTTAATTAAATTTTTACAAAATTAATATTTACATATATATTTTTTTAGCAATATTCTCAACTTAGTATTAGCAGATATTTTTCTGAACCTTAAAGGCTAAGCTAATTGTTTTAATTAAAATTTTTACATAATTAATATTTACATATACATTTTTTTAGCAATATTCTCAACTTAGTATTAGCAAATATTTTTCTGAGGCAAAGGTAATTGTTTTAATTAAAATATTTCACATAATTAATATTTACATATTGTTGTAGTTTTGGATATATATTTGTACATATATATTATAAAATGTCAATCAAAAAGAATATATTTTATTTATTAGTTATTTTATCGAGAATTGATATTCAAACACTTGGTATTTTTTTGTTTATTTTTTGACTTTTGATAAATATATTATACGTGATTAATTTTTATGTTTGATAAAAAAAAATGAAAAAACTTTTATGAGATGAAAATGATTTAATTTGATGTTTTTAACTTTGAAAATGGACTATTGGAAATTTTGTGATTTGAATAGAAATAAAGAAATAGAAATTATAAGAAATATTTTACATATATATTTTTTTAGCAATATTCTCAACTTAGTATTAGCAAATATTTTTCTCAACCTTAAAGGCAAAGGTAATTGTTTTAATTAAAATATTTTACATAATTAATATTTACATATATATTTTTTTAGAATATTCTCAACTTAGTATAAATATTTTTCTGAACCTTAAAGGCAAAGGTAATTATTTTAATTAAAATTTTTACATAATTAATATTTATATATATATTTTTTTAGCAATATTCCCAACTTAGTATTAGTAATATTCTCAACTTATTAATAGCAGAACCTTAAAGGCAAAGGTAATTGTTTTAATTAAAAATTATAATTAATCCAAATTTTTTTAATATATTTTTCTTTAAGTATGGGAAGAAATGAAGAGATTGTGCCTTCTTTGATAAATCATGCACAAGAAGATGGAGAGGATGATCTCCTTTTTTACTATTTTTCAACAAAATTTTTATAGATGAAGAAGTTGTAATCGATATCTCCATTGCAGCTGATAGCTCTGTAACTTTACCAATATCAGTTAATAACATTCAAATCTCGTAGAACAGCCATAAAAATTTTGTCTAGTTATTTTCAATATGTTATAGTTCGGCAATTAATATTAACATTATAAATAGAATCTGAATGTCATATTATTACTAATTAAATATTATATTTTATTAAAGGATATTTGTAGCTTTTAAAATTTTATTGTCATATAAATTCAGAATTTTTGAAAATTATATTTTAAAATAAAACTTTATTATTCATATTTTTTGTATCATCTATCTAAATGAATATATGGAAGAAGATAATTTATAAAAGAAATGTAGAATCTAAATATAATCATTATTTTATTCAAATAATCAATTTCACTTTTTTAACTTAAAACAATCGATTAATTAATTATAAGACTTTTCACATGTCTTGGTCAATAATAGGTATAAAAATTATAAAATCTGATTCTTTCAAAAAATATAGACTTACAATTTAAATAAATATGTAATTGAAATTTACCTAATCTTAACAATTTCATAGAATAGAAATAATTAAACACTTTTGATTTAGATATTATTAAAAAATAATTTCTTAATGTGATTTGCTGGATGATGTTAACTTTTCAAAATTTAGTTATCCACAGTTAAAGATCTTCATAAATATATATGTGTACATTTCACTATCAATGTAAAGTTTAATATAGCTTTGAATCTGAAGGGTTCAGAAATTTAAAATGGTTTGGTTGGATATCTTCAGAAGACAAAGCATAATGCCCTAGAATAGAATTTAAATGACAATTTATTACAAATAAGTAACATGGACTTATAAGCATAAACACCACAATAAATTTTAATATATGCGTAGTTAAGGATTATCTTAATCTATTTTGAAAAATCATCTGGTAGTACCTATAATCAGTGTCTATATGGCCGGGGTGGGTAGGAGACATAGCCTCCAAAATATTCAACCCTAGCACTCGAGGGCAATGCAATGTTAAATTTAATATATATTTTTTTATATAAGAAAAATCATCAAAAATTTTCATTTGATTAATTTTAGATTTAAAAAAAATGCGTCTAAAAGATTTTCAATAATATTATTCCAAAAAAATCATCGATAGTTGGTGTCTTTTTTGATGTGTCTAAAATTATAATAGTAATAGTTAAAATTATACCTAAAACGAATTATTTGTTATAAGATATTCGATTTGATTCGATTCGTATTTTACGAATACGAATAACACAATTATTCGATTCAAAAATTCGAATAGGAAAATATATTATTCGTCGAATAATTTTTTATCTATTATTCGATCGAATTATTCGAGATTATTCGATTAAAATAATTTATATTAATAAATATCGAAAAATAATCATATATTAGTAGGAATTATTTGCAATTATTTCTATTTAATAAAATTACCTAGAAATAATGAAGAATTTTATATTTCTAAATGTTGTTAACGGCTGTTTTTATCCGAATAATACATAATACAAAATTAACTTCCGAAAATTGTTTTATGATGGACGAAGAAAGTATTTATTTATATGTAAATTATAACACATATACCATTATAAATAACTAGTAGCTATCCCGTCAAGAATGACGGGCGAACCAGATATTTCTCTTTTGTTTGATGATGGAGAAATCATAAATTTTACTTTTTGCAAAAACTTTGTGTTTAAAAAATTTGTTGTTGGTATATTTGTCTTCTACATGATATGAATATTATATTGATCTTTCTACATTATATATAAATATACTATATACCTATGCTTTAATATTATCTTACTAATAAAATTTGTTTGTCTTTTATCCAAAATTTTACAAAATAAATTTAATGTGCTATCTTTTTTAATTTACTGTTAAATAAAATTTTCGAATTGAATCGAATAATCATTTTATTATTCGTACGAAAACGATTAATGAATTATTCGATTTAAATGAATACGAATAATTCCATTATTTACGAATAATACAATTATTCAATTCGATTCGTATTTTTGTAGGTCTAGTTAAAATAAAAATTATATAGGGGATACGTGGCATAAATGGCCATATGAAGATAATAATTAAAATATTTAAAGTCTAATGCGGACACACAGTATTGAATGAGGAAAGGGAGATAAAAAAATAGGTAGGGAGCTTTAAGATATCTTCTCAAAAATACTCAGTGGGGCTATTAAAAAAATATATTTTGTAGCTATTTTCCCCTATATGTTTTTGCAATCGATCTTAGATAAAAATAGAAAATAGTGGATAAAAATTTATATTATATTACGTCATATTAAATCTTTATGCCTGTCATCTGACAGTTTCCCAATAATCTTTTTTTTTATACCTGACAAAACACGATAGATGCAAGATTATCTATTCTATTATTAACTGAAATCATTTATATTAATAAAATAATTATATCGAGGATTATGATATGTTTAAATATTCTTTCTATATATGTATTATTTTATATATATATTTATATAAAATTAAATATTATTTCTATATTAGTAACAAATACTTAAATTATCAGTTTAATTTGTTTTTAATCATATTAAAACTATTAACAAATTTAATATGTTTTACTTTTATAATTAATTAAACTATTAGTAGTTTAATATTGTCTAAATTATTATATAAATATTTTATAAATTTATTAAATTAAAAAAAATGTTAAAAATAAAATTAAAAAAAATGTTAAAAATTCTATTTTATATTCACCATCTTTCTTCTTTTTAACGCGAACAGCTGTGGGAATATTTAGAACCGTAAATTACACCAAAAATATCCAAACGATCTTATATTTACTATTTTTTATAAAAAAAATTTGTTTTTTAATATTTAAAAAAATATGATAAAAAATAAATTAAAAAAAATAAATTTAAAAAAAATATTAAAAATTTCCCAGTGATTCAGTGAGTTACCAAATTATACAATAAATAGTATAAAACTAGGACATGTCACCCCATTTTTTCTGCCAATGACATTTCTTTTAAATTTAATATAAAATCGGATATATCTATAATTATTTACGGCTATATTATTCACTATATATTTTTTTTACAATTAATTTTCAATGTTCCTCGTCGTCTCCTCTAAGCGTCAGGTTCTCCCAAGCTTGAATTTGTTGGTCTTTGGGAGAAATGTAATCGTTATTGTTATTTTCTTGTTCCATAGCTTGATCCGGTGGCCTTGTTATTTTAAGCATCATTTCGTTCATCTTGCATGTTCATAGGTCTGACTAATTTACCTTTTTTATTTATCATTGTTTTTTTATTTTTTCCTTCCATTGGATAGCTAATATTCTTTTCCAGATTTAACATCATAGACCATTTCTTTGGAAAATTTTTTTTACTTTTTTTTATTGTGTTGGTATGGTACCCCGGCATGGCATTGATGAATTAAATGATCGTCAGCAATACATTTTAAACATCTTCTTTTTCGTACTTCTGGAACATGGTTGAATCTTGTCATTCCTTCTAAAGAATTTTGAGTCTCCAATTTCATACCAACATCCTTAGGAATGATCGTAATTTGGATAAAATGGGTTTTAAAATTAATAAGTTGAGACTATGTCTCCATCACAAAAATTTAAACAAGAAAAAATTTTTTTATTAAAATTAATTTTACTAAAATAAAAAAAATTTTTTAAAAATATTTATTAAAATTTTATTTTTAAATTAACATTTTTATTGTAATTATTTACATATACATATGTTTTTATATTCCTTCTTTTTAAATAATGCATATGTCATTTTCACAAAAATAACACATTTTTTTATTACCCCATATCCTAAACAATAAAGGATCAATTTTTTTCATGATTATAAAAATTTTCTTTTCATTTTATTAATAACCTTTATTTCAAATTTACCATTTCTACAATAAATCCGTGTTATTTTACAATTAACATCTTCACCATCGATTATCCCTTGTTTATGACTATCTTATCACTAAATTCATTCACAACCATTAATTAAGTAGTCTTATTTGTTTTGGCTTTACTCACATTAATACACTCATGTGTCGACTTCAAATTTTAACTCATGTGCTAACTTCAAATATTATTAATAAAATTTCCTTGATTTATAACTCAAATTTGTTATTTTACAAAAAACATATACACATTTAATTATCATACCATTAACAAGAATACCCGCTTTAAGATTTCAGGTTTATATATATGATCTTTACGTCTAATGATCACTATATCAAATATCTTTGATTTATAACTTACATTTGTTACTGCAATATATTCACATTTAATTATCATATCATTAACAATTAATTATATGGGTTTAAGAATACCCTCTTTAAGATCTCAGGTTTATATGATCTTTATATATATATTTTATATTTTCGTACAATAAAAATGGTGTCTAATCATGAATCCGTAAGTGATCATTATGTCTCACCATTATAACCCCATTCTCCAGAGTTACTTGGCTTAATTTATGATTTTTTACTATATGGCCTTTCCCCCATTTTTTATGTTTACTATCAAAGAAACAGGTCCAAACCTTTTATCCCATGGAAACTATATGTATATTATCTTGGGGCAATATATTAACAACGCCTTTTTGTTTTAAACAAGTTCTTCTACCTAAGAATAATTCTACAGGTGTTATCCCTTCTCGATTTCGAGAATTGAGGTAATATAACTGAGACACATCTTTATGGTTTCCAGCCTTTTTAATCCAGTTTTTAATAATTGCTACCATCCTCTCAGCTTGTCCATTCGAGCTGGGATGACATGGTGGAGCAATAATATGTTTTGTTTGTGATTGAGCACAAAACTTTCTAAAATCATCACTTATGAAGGCTAGACCTCCATCAGATTCTATCTTATCAGGTAAACCATATCGAGCATATAATTCTCGTAATTTTTTAACAACAATTTTGTGGTATAACCATACACTTCTGCATATTCTATCCATTTTGAATAGGAATCTAATCTACCACCAAAAAATAGGATTTTTTATCAAGACCGAAGAAATTAATGTGGAGACGTACCCAAGGTTTCTTTGATTTGGGCCAAATCTGTTTTACTTCTTTACGGG